ATATACATTTGGTGTCAATGCATTGGTGTCAATGCTGGTCGATACATTGACTATGTGTGTGCGTTGGCCACCAGCTGCGCATGTGAACACCCCTGCTGCGCGAGCTGACTCGTGAAGTGGTAAACAGCGTAACACTGCATGCGCTACCTAAGGTGTGTGTGTTAATAGCGTATAATAACACCTATAATGTACCGGCCAGAATAATATAGATATAAGAAATGATAATAGTAAACATAAACATATGCACATCCTAATCAGTAATCTTTACAGTGGTTCAGTACAGTTTATAAACAAACAAATAGGTATGAACTTTCACTAAACTAAGCATTGAACATTCAGTTTTCTTACTTTTTAGATGTACGCACACACACCATCAATGAAATTTTCGGATTGGAATACTCCTTTTTCTCTAACTATTTACAATGCCCAGCTTTAATTATCTTACTAACCCCTGTCATCAACTCTTTCTCCCCTCTGCCACTTTCCGAAACTCCGCAAGAAACTTTGGATCAGCCCATTTCACGCTGATCTGCGGGGGTGACTGGAAGAGTCCAAGTCGCGGGGGGGAATATTTTCTACACTAGGGTTTACATAGAATGGTCCGAAAAAGTAAAAATATCCAGAGGGCGGCAGTTCTGTGGGTGCAAATGCTTTGTTGATGGCAGAGGAGAATGGCCAGACTGGTTTGAGTTGATAGAAAGGCAACAGTAACTCAAATAACCACTTGATGCAACTGAGGTCTGCAGAAGAGCATCTTTGAACACAAAACACGTCCAACCTTGAGGCGGATGGGCTACAGCAGCAGAAGACCACACTGGGTGCCACTCCTGTCAGCTAAGAACAGGAAACTGAGGCTACAGTTTGCACAGCCTCACCAAAATTAAACAATAGAAGATTGGAGAAACATTGCCTGGTCTAATGAGTCTCGATTTCTGCTGCGACATTCGGATGATCGGGTCAGAATTTGGCCTCAACAACATGAAAGCATGGATCCATCTTGCATTGTATCAACAGTTCAGGCTGGTGGTGGTGGTGGAGATATTTTCTTGGCACACTTTGGGCCCATTAGTACCAATATAAAGTATATATTTATTTATTTATTTTTCTAATTTCAACCTTCCCAAGATTTTCAGCCAATGCACATAAAAAGTTTTCTGATTTTATTTAAAAACAATTGTTGCAACAATTGTACTTTTTTTTTTTTATTAAACAGCAGGCGTTGTGCACAGCTCTGATCATTACCCAAAGCAATGATGTTTGATAATATGTCTCCCATTATCAGGATTGTTCAAGCATACGGCTGTCGCATATGGCTGAGGTGTAGAGTCGTCTGCTTTGTCATCTGGCCGTGTGGGCATTATTTCTGCGATCAGAATGCATGCTGGGAATTAATTAGCTTGGCCTTCATTTAGATGCCTCCCTGTGTTAATGTAGAGAAGTTCAAACGCAAAGGGTGTTAAAGTACAGTAGCGGCGCCGCGGGACGTCCACTTTCTGCGTTTTATCGCTTGGTGAGTGGAAAATGTGTCGTGATGGGAATCGCTGGGAGGCTGTGATGCTTTGGAATGGAGGAAATTGGGGTTGTAACACAGATTAGCGCGGATTCTGTACGCCCACCACTGAGTATTTGAGATGAAATGTGACTGTGTTCATTCATTTGGCCTCCTGATTTAATTTGCTTTCTTTGAAGGTTTGTGATGGAGTTTGGTTTGCTTGCCACTGTTGCATTTGGCTTATTTAGATAGGGAATGCATGAAATATAAAATATATATTGTGGTGTTTTGTTTTATATATACACAATATATAAACATAAACTCAAAGCATCTTTGACTTAAATATTGACTTAATTTTACCACTTTATATTAGTTAAAAAATAAACTGAAAAATTATTTTCTTATACGTTCACTTTTAAAAAGGGTTTTCTGCAGTTTTTTTTAGACCCCCGGATCATTACTCAAATGACCTTCTTCATCTCTAGCAATTGCTAATATTCAGTGTTGGGCAGTAGCATCACCACAAGTAGGGATGTTACTAGCTTAACTAGATTTCTCAGTTGTGTGGCGGTAGCAGCGACGCTGTATATATATATACAGTTGAAGTCAGAATTTTTAGCCCCTTGTTTTTTCAATACATTATTAAACAATATAGTTTTATTAAATCATTTCTGATTCTAATGACTGAATTATTTTATCTTTGCCATGATAAATAATAATTGACTAATAATATTTGACTAGATATTTTTCACGACACTGCTATACAGCTTAAAGTGACATTTAAAGGCTTAACTAGGTTAATTATGTTAGCTTAAAGGGGGCTAATAATGTTGTCCTTAAAATGGTGTTTAAAAAATTAAAAACTGCTTTTATTCTAGCCAAAGTAAAACATATAAGACTTTCTCCAGAAGAAAAAATATTATCAGACACACTGTGAAAATTTTCTTGCTCTGTTAAACTTCATTTGGGAAATATAACTAAAATGATAATAATTCAAAGGGGGCTAATAATTCTGACTTCAATTGTATACACATACACACACACACACACACACACACACACACACACACACACACACTTTCCTATATATTTCCTTGACATTACTATAGGATTTTAAATGTGCAACACAGGATTTTTGAATTTTTTGGTTTTGCTGTTTAGTAAAATTAGTTTCTGTTTGATACAGCATATTAATGGCAGTAAACAACTGAACTGATCAATTATGCCTCATATGTTTCATTGGCAGTTTTATTGATCACTAAGACAGAATTGGGTTGGATTAAAGTTGCTTCAATTTTAAAAATGAAAATAAAATTGCATAGATGTCGCTAAGCTACTTTGCCATGTATCTTTTAGCTTAGCTTGCTACGTTTCCCAGGGGTTAGCTTATAGTGTAGATTAGCTACATTTTACGTAGAGTAGCTAATAGCTTAGCTCACTACAGTTTTCAAGTAGCTTGCACAGCACTTCTAATAGTCTATTCTCTCAAAATGTTGTTAAACTGATTTTCTTTTTCAATTCAATTTTTCAATTCAGCTTTGTTTGTATAGCGCTTTTACAATGTAGATTGTGTCAAAGCAGCTTCACATAAATGGTCATAGTAACTGGAACAGTGTAGTTCAGTTTTTAGTGTTTAAGTTCAGTTCAGTTTAGCTCAGTTCAGTGTGATTTAAAATCATTACTGAGAGTTAAAACACTGAAGAGCAAATTCATCGATGCGTAGCTCTACCAATCCTGAACCATGCAATCCTTTTCACTGCAGAAAGTGGCTATTTATTCGTATATATGATCACCCAATATATACGTATATTACTCAAGCATCAATCCTTCTTGTCTTTTAGTCAAACTTTTTAGTAAAAAGGTAACATTTATGTTCTGTTTGTTGACTTATTTTGCATTTTCTTTAGTTTTATGTTTCCAGTTTTTCAGTTCCTGCTCCACTTGCTAGACTGTTTCAGTGATTACTAGTGGATAACTGATTATGTTCACCTGTGCCTTGTTTAGGCCATCAGTTTTGTCCTCGCTTGCACTTAGACTTATTAAAAAAATCAGTTCTATGGTCTAATTTTCAAATATGGCATACACAAATAACACCATGTCCCATACAATAGTTGTGATCTTTAAGAACTTGATTGAAGCATGTGAACAGCTGTAAGTTAACTTAAGTTAGCATCTTTAACTTGTATATTGACTTAATTGATCCACTTTAAATCGTTTAGGTTTCTCACAAAGTTTTATAAATGAGACCCTTGACCAGCGGTGTCCAAACTACGGCCCGCGGGCCATCTGTGGCCCGCAATCCGTTTTGTGGCGGCCCGCGAGGCTTTTTATAAATATTAATAGAATCTGGCCCGCTATACAAAAATGAACGTAATTCAATAAATAACCACCGGGTGTCGCTATGACAATTAGGCAGCAGTTCCTGTTAAGAAGCAAAACGAACCGTACAAACTAAAGGAAACATAATTGATTATCACGTTTTGGCGAGCATTGGCGAAAGCAAGAAAAAGGAAAATCAACAGTGAGTGCAGGAAATTTTAGTCACGCTGGGGCCAAGAATATTTCTTCACAGAGGTCAGTGGAATTTGTGTCTGTTTAATTTGCCAGGAATCAGTTACAGTAATGAAGGAATATAATATTAAAAGACATTATGAAACAAAACATCAGGCCTTCAGCTTTTACACTGGTGCCGAACGAGATCAAAAAGTAAAACAATTAGCAGCCGCCCTATCAGCTCGACAACAGCAGTTTTTCCATGCTAATAAAGTGCAAGAAAATTCTACGCTGGCTAGTTATGCACAGGAAACCCTTCACTGAAGAAAATTTATATAGGAGTGTCTGATGAGTGTTGCAACTGTAATTTGCCTAGAGAAGATTCAAGATCTTAAAAACGTAAGTCTTTCTAGAAACACTGTTAAAATAATTAAAATAATTCCATAATACACACACACACACACGCATATATATATATATATATATATATATATATATATATATATATGCGTGTGTGTGTGTGTGTGTGTGTGTGTTATGGAATTTTTTAAATTATTTCAACTGTGTTTCCAGAAAGACTTACGTTTTTATATATGTACTTGTATTTATATGCGTGTGTGTGTGATGTATGTAAAATTTGGCCCGGGACAACAGTTTTTGTTTTTTTTTGCATCTGGCCCTCGGCCCAAAAAGTTTGGACACCCCTGCCCTTGACCTTTACCCAAGTGAACTTCTTTATCTCGCAATTGCTAATAGTCTATTCCCTTCCTGATGTCATCAAGCAGATTTCCAGTTCGCTGCGAAAATTGGCTGTTAAACCAGTTCCAGGAATGTATCTGTTAATATAACAGCGTAGCTGCAGGTCTCCAGCCTGAATCAGTATCTGTGTGTTAGCGTCTGCAGTGGATCATCTCTCTCTAAAACCTCTGCATCCTGCAGCAAAGCCAACGAAAGCTGGAGCCGCTCTCTGGCATCAGGCCTTCAGCTCTCTCTCTCTGTGTTTCTCTCTCCGCAGTATTGCTGAATGTGCTTCAGGCAAACGGCCAGACGGAGATGAAGAGGGTGGTCGGAGACAACGCCACGCTGCCCTGCCACCATCAGCTGTGGCAGACCGACATCGCCCTGCTGGACATCGAGTGGATGCTGCAAATATCCAGCTCTCGGCAGAAAGTGGTGAGTGCTGGTGTGTGCCACTGCGACAGAGATGCTGATGCCGGTGCTGATGCTGGCCTTCACCGTTCACAGTCTGTGATCTGCACTGCGGTGCTTTTCTCTGCTCGTCTTTCTGCTGCTGCAATCAGCACTGTGAAAACCGCTCGCTTTTAATATGTCACTGCTTTGCCTCGTATTGCCACCCCCCCCACTCTCCCCCCAACCCTAACAATTACTTTTATGACCTAATGATGTGGAATTGGCCCGGGGACAAGTCTTACATTTTAATCTGGCCACAGCTCAAGCTGATCCCTGAGGGCCGTCCTGACACAATATATCCCAGAGGAAGGGGTCAAACCTTTTGCCGATTGAACTTCCTGCAAGTGACGAGTCTTTTCAGAGATATATTTCGAAATGGCATGCAGAGAATGCTAGTTTTGGTTTCGCTTATGTGGCAGTTTTGTGGGTCTGTCTGTGAAATTGATCTGCGCTACTATGTTGTAAGACTTTTTGAAATCACTAAGACTGCATTTTTACGGTTAAAAATACAGTAAAACATAATATTTTGAATTATTATTGCTATTTAAAATGATAGTTTTACTGTATTTTAAAGTGCAATTCATTCCTGTGATGCAAAGCTGCATTTTCTCGCATCATTTCTTAAGTCTTCAGAGTTCCATGATCTTACATCTCCATGGTCTTTTTAATATGCTGATCGGATTATTAATCTGAAACAGTTCAGTTTAAATTTTCTTTATTCAAATAAATAAATTAATAAAAAGTTCAAACGACTAGGATTTCTTTAAACTAGTCTAAACTTTCTAATTTTTGAGTTGAATAAAATTTCTGACAGATTTTAGACATTTCATTCATTTTCTTTTCAGCTTAGTCTTTTTATTATTCAGGGGTTTCCACAGTGGAATTAACCACCAACTTATCCATCATATGTTTTAAGCAGCAGATGACCTTCCAGCCGCAACCCAGTACTGGGAAACACCCATACACTCCTGCATTCAAAAACATACACTACGGCCAATTTAGCTTATTCAATTCACCTATAACGCATGTCGTTGGAAACCTTTGGAAACCAAAGCACTCTGAGAAAACCCATGCTAACACCAGGAGAACATGCAAACTTCACACAGAACTGCCCAGCTGGGGCTTGAACCAGTGATCTTGTTGCTGTGAGACGATCGTGCTACCCACTGCGCCACTGTGACACCCTTAAGACCCGTGCACACCGGGACAGTTTTTCCTCGCGTTTTCCGTCAACGTTTAACGCCTGGTGACTAAATAAACGGCACTAATGTGATTGTGCACACCAATGCCAGGTACAAAAGTGTCATTTGTTTTAAAAATAGCCTCATGTGCGCTTTTTTTGTTTTGACGCGCCGCATCAAAACCTTCTCCACCAATCAGATTGGCTCTTTTGTTCACGTGCATGGAGCTGCTGAAGTTACAGTAAACAGCACTTGGAGGCGCTCAAGCGCAAAACTGTCAATGCGAGCACACATTGAAGAAGATTCCCAGAGGTGATATGAACGTGGAGCTGCTTATTCCACTGGCGAACAATAATCATTTCTTCATCACTGGAGTTGCAGCTGGAACCATCTATGCTTGCTCGAGTCACAAGTAACTTTTACAACAAGCGTGTCAACTTTTCTCATCGTCTGTGTTACTAGCGGGTGTCGGAAGCTTAAGTTGTGTTGCGCCACCCTGTGCGCTCGGGTCTTTCTACTTTTTTTGAGCACCATCTAACGTCAAGGATTTTTGCATACTCTTCTACTCGATGCCAGTGAAAATCGCTTGGGTTTGAATCCAAAAAAACGTCTTGTAAAACGCTGACGATAAACGCAAACGAAAACGTCCCGGTGTGTACGAGCCTTTAGATTGAAGACAAACTGTACAAAAGTACAAGTATCCCATACATTTTGAAATACAATCATTGAGGATAAAACACAATAAAACTTGTTTCCACTGTAGTCCTTGCTGTTAAAAAAAAACAAAGTATGTCTGCAAAATACAGTTAATGCATAAAACAAACAGTACCTCCACATTTTAAAACAGGAACAAAATTGTTCACAATACAATAGCTACATTTCCATCCACCTATTTTAATGCGCATTTAGGTTGATGGAAATGCCAAATTTTAAAAATGCACATAATAAACATATGCGCATAACTGAGTAGGATAAAGAAAATAAAAGATGTGCATAAACTGCGATAGAAACACTTTTACCGAACAAATTCCAGTATGCCCATTATAAAAGTCATGTGATTTTGTTATGAGAGATCATGTTGTAATAAAAATGTCAGTGAATGGACAAACCAGCAGGCTGAGAACATTGTAAAACATCGGAAATGTTGTTTTGGTCATTCTAAAATGCCTTAACCGTTTCAGTATTAGTGTTATCATATTATTATTGACCTCCAGAATCAACAGTGTCTGTGCTCCGCGTCTCACGCCTTCACACGCCACCACACGTTTACTGCGTGTCAGGATTGCCTTCTGAGGCGCAAGTCATTTATTAAATGAAGAAAAGATTCATGCAGCTTCTTTACTGCAGCAGATTCAGTTTTTACTGTTGATTTTTGGCGGCAGGTAATCAAGAAGTGAAGATTTTGTTCACTTTGACTCGTTGGATGGAAACGCACGTCTTTATTCGCACGTCTTTTATGCGATAATCCAGTTTCGCGCATATAGTTAAATTGCATTTTGAATGGGAACAAAGCTAATACCTAGTGCTGTCAAAATTAGTGCGTTAATGCATGCGATTAATTTGAAATATTTAATATTTGAGTAAAGATTTAAAAAAAAAAAATTTAAATTTAAAAAAAAATGTGAGTAATTAAAAAAAAAATAATAATTACTCAACGCAGTTGCAGTTTTTTTTTCTGTTGTGGCTGACTTGTTGTGTTCAACATGCAAAGAAAATGGATAAGACCAAGGAAGCACTTTTTGAAGGCAAGTTTCAACAATCAATGCCGCATTACCAGGCTCTCCAGCGTTTCCTCCAGAGTTTCATGCCATTTTCAATGTTTCATTTTTAACTTTTGACTTTTGTTTTAACGGAGTTTGATACCGCATGGCGAACGGAGAGAAAAACCTCCACATTTCATGACTCGGTGGTCCTTTAAGGTAATCAAAAATCGCTGCTTACATGGCATACTCTTAATAAGAGTATTATCTTAATCATATTAAAATCGGAGTATTGGTGTCCATGTAAATGTACTCAGAAAGTGCCAGATAAAGTCGCGAGCTGTCAAAGACAGCGCATTCCTCTGCCTTTCTGCATGCGCCCTCCAATGTTTCATTAAGTTTGACTTGTTTCCACCTTAAACGCAACCTTTGTAAAGTGTCTGCTTCGCGTTAATTTGTCTGAATCCTTGTGAAATACAGCCATACTTTAGAACGCTTTAAATTTGATGAACGCGATCATGCGTGTTGGCTCTGAAGGCAGTCGCTCCGGCTGCCCTGTCTTGCGTGCGTTGTGTGTGTGCGTGTGTGTGTTTGCAGAAAAAAAGGCTTTTTTTGTGGCTCAGAGACTAACGAACTCTCCTCATGTTTTCTCTCTCCTCAGCTGATCACATATTCCGCGGGTCGGATCTACGACACCAATGAGAGCGAAGATGGTCGCCTGTCCCTAGCCGGAGACTACCTGAAAGGCGATGCTTCGCTCCTGATCAGCGACCTCTCGCTCAGCGATTCGGGCGACTACACCTGCAAGGTCAAGAACGGAGGGAAGTACATCTGGAACACAGTCAAGCTCATCGTGCTCTGTGAGTCTGCGGCCCTGCAGCTTGGCCTTAATCAACGGCTCTTTTAGGCCTGGAGATCCAGAAAGACATGACAGATGCTGATGTCACTGAGAAACAGACCCAAAAATAGCACCGGGATGCTTTCTCTGGGCCAGTTGTGCCATGATCTTGCCGTGAAATGACATTCAAAGACGGCGTGACAATAAGAATGATGTATTATAAGTGATAGCATGGAGGAGAAAAAAGGGTTTAGTACATGATTTAAGTAACATGCTGTTAAGCGATTGCAGCATTATGGATGAGACATTTGCAGTAAAAACTCAAAACATAAATACACATTATATTGAAACATCTGTTTATATTTTCCAAAACTACTAACCACCAAGTTATGGGATCAGAAAATATCAATCTGTAAATGTTTTTTAGATTGTAAATGAGGACAATAAACATGCAGTATTTTCCCAGAGATGGGTTGCGTCTGGAAGGGCATCCGCTGCGTAAAAACCTGCTGGATAAGTTGGCGGTTCATTCCGCTGTGGCGACCCCGGATTAAGAAAGGGACTAAGCCGACAAGAAAATGAATAAATGAACATGCAGTATAGATGTGACCAAAAACGTTTACAGTATACAACATACTTTGTAGACATTTTGTGAATTAAATTGCACAACCCAAAAGAAAAGGATAAGAGCTGGCTAGCTATAGAACAAAAAACATTGATTTTATTTAGTTTATGAGGAAAAACTTAGTGTTTTTTTATGGCAAAGTTTATATTTGCATGGAATTGCACAAACTTGAATTAATTACTCATTTTGCTTATATTATTGGAATAATAGGTTCAAAAATAATCTTCTTACTGTAATATATTTAGTCCAAGGCATTAATGTGATCAAAAATACAGTGAGAAAATGTAATATTGTGAAATATATATTAAAAATGATGTTAAAAATTATTATTTTTATTCCAGGCTGTGTCAGTTGGCATTTCCACAGTATGTGAAGTTTCTCCCCATGTTGGCGTGGGTTTCCTCCGGGTGCTTCAGTTTGTCCCACAGTTTAAAGACACAGGCTATGGGTGAATTGAATAAACTAATTTGGCCGTAGTGCATGAGTGTGTGTATGAGTGTGTATGAGTGTGTATGGATGTTTCCCAGTACTGTTTTTATTATTTTATTTTTTTTATTTATAATATATATATATATATATATATATATATATATATATAAGTTTATTTACAGTCTAATTTGAGCATTTTAATGCATCCTTGCATTAATAAAATTATATGTTTTTAAATTCTAAACACTAATTAAAAATAACATATTATGCATGATAGTATGGGAGAAAAAAATATGTCATGACGCAAAATTACTGTAGTAAAAAAAAAATCTCAGTCGATAACATTTAAAAAAAATCTTTATTAACTTATTAAAGGTCCCGTGAAGTGCTTTTAGATGTGCATTTTTATTAAGTGTTTGACTTAATCTCAACCAAAACACAAATAGAGGGCAGGACATAGAGTAGCTCCTCCCCTTTTACAAAAAAAGCCAATAGCGTTTTATTTTATCACAGTTCTGCCAATGAGAGCGATTGGGCACAGGAGCATCAATCGAGAAGCAAATGAGAAGCGTCTATAAGGGGGCGGGGCTTGTCAGATACTAGAGAGCATTTGATTGGTCACGATTTGATGAGAAGCTGAAGTATGAGGTGACATGAATAAAACCATTAATCCATTTAGCAGAACTAACAAGTTTTAGATGTTAATAATCTTATAAAGGCTTAAAAAGGCAAAAATAAATCTTATAAATCTTATAAAGGCAAATTTTGTCACTGTTTTGCAGCGCACTAGCTTACAGATATCTTAAAAACGAACAATACTGATACTAACATCTAAAAAACTTTATTTTTATTTCAAACTTTAATATAACTGTATTTAACTATCAAAATACACACATCAGTTTTAATATTACAGTGCGGACATGCTGAATAAACACGTCTTCCTGCATAGAAACATTATCGGTCTGTTCCCCCCCATTGTTTTTTCCTACATTCCCTTATTTCATAGTAACCGCCTAGGCAGCTTTATAATGACATTTAAGTGTGCCACAAATTTACACATGCATTTGTCCAAATGGTCCGTAGCTTTCAAACGACACGTTCGATTCCGAGGGCCAAACATTAGCATTTGTCTTGTTCAACATGAAGATAATGGTTTGGCCGCAGACGCGCCTGCAGTTTCCGTAAGCGATCCTGACAGAGTCTGGAGATGGAGGGACCTGCATCCCACTCAGCGGCTGTAATTGCATCCCCTCCTGCGTGTGTACCGGGGCAAAATTATCCTGGCTCAGCAGATAGAGGTGCAGGAGCAGATGCTGATGGCACATGCGGGGGGTCAAGGACCGAATGGTGAACGGGTTGTTGTACAGATTCATGTTGTCGAGCTCGCTGGCGTCACACTGAGTTTTAGGAGCTTCATGAGGCGAGGAAAAAATAGATCAGATCTTAAATGTGTTTAGAGTTGTGAATTTCAGAGTGAGTATTATTATTATAGTTTTTTTTTTTTTTTTGGTCCGGCTCAAGTGATTACAACGTTTCTGTTAAACACACAAGAGCATGTGTTGAACAAGCTGACAACCTGTAACCATTAAATTCCATAGTAGGGAAAATAAATACCATGGGAGTTAATGGGTACAGATTTCCAGCATTCTTCAAAGTGTCTTCTTTTTTATGTTAAGATCTATCTTTATTAGATAGGACAGTATTTAGACAGGAAGCAATGACGGAGAGAGAGAGAGGGGGGGGGGTGGTAGGGAAAAGTCCTCAAGCTGGGATTCGAACACAGGATGCCCTAGCGTGCTATTCCACCATATGTCGATGCGCTAACCACTAGGCTATTGCACCAACAAAGAGGCTTTCTTTTAAAAGAAAATAGAACCCCAGAACAAGTGAAGAGTGAGTAAACGATGATAGAATTTTCAGGTTTGGGTGAACTATCTCTTTATGAAGTAAAAGAACGTTGATTTGTCACAAAATTTAAATAAAAATTTAAAGCGAATTATTCAATGCTCATTAATCTGTAAAGCATTTAATACTTTGGATTATTCAAAATATGGATTGCTTTCTGATTATTATGGAGCCATAATGTGACAAAACTATTCAAATTTGAATTATGGACTGGCACCAGTGGGGGGTCAAGGACCAAATGGTGAATGGGTTGTTGTACAGATTCAAGTTGCCGAACTCGCTGGAGTTACACTGAGTTTTAAGAGCTTCATGATGAGCCAATTTATCCAGCAAGTTTTTACGCAGCGGATGCCCTTCCAGCTGCAACCCATCTCACATCCACACACAGTCACACACACTACGGACAATTTAACCTACCCAATTCACCAGTACTGCATGTCTTTGGACTGTGTGGGAAACCGGAGGACCCCTACGCGAACGCAGGGAGAACATGCAAACTCCACACAGAAACGCCAGCTGACCCAGTCAAGGCTCGAACCAATGACCTTCTTGCTGTGAGGCGACAGCACTACCTACTGCGCCACTGCGTCTCCTGTTATGCTATTATTTAATTCATAAATGGACTCTTCTCTAAGATATTGTGCTATAATATACCTCATATGATTATTGACCTCACCGTGTGTGTTTTGTGTGACTTCTTTACACACAGTGAAGCCATCAAAACCCCGCTGTTGGATGGAGGGTCGACTCCTCGAAGGCAGTGATGTCAGATTGAGCTGCAAATCCACAGATGGTTCAGACCCCATCAGCTACAAGTGGGAGAGAGTCCTGGACAAGGGAAAAAACGCCGGGAAACTTCCACCTCTAGCTTTGATCGGTAAGCCCATAGAAAGCTTATCATTTAATTTTGCCCTTTTTACTAGATGTAAAATAAGTCTTTTGTGGCTCCAGAATGGGTCTGTGAAGTTTCAGGTCAGAATACCCATCAGAACATTGATTATGCCCTGTTGAAAATGTACATGTTTGTGTCGGAGGGAATTGTAGCTGTTTTTGGGGCCTGTGCCTTTAAATGTAAATGAGTTGGTTCTCCCCGCCCACTCTTGGTAAATTTTGCTTCATTTCTGCAAACTATAATAGGCTGTAATTTCGCTACAGTTCTCAAATTTTTGCATACCTAACCCCGCCGGTCCTATGCCAACCAACCCACTCCGAGTTGGTATCGTACCCGCGACCTTCCACTTGGGAGTAAGTTACTTTACCAAGGAGGCTAAAGACCATTACCTCTAGCTAGAGTATCTTTAGAGGAGTGAGGTTTACCTCCACAGCTCTTCACTAGCTGGCCTTCGCTACACTCGCCCCTCTAAACCTCACTCCCATCTGGGTCACGGCACCAATGGAACCCCAATTGGTCCTACGCCACCCAACCTGCACCGAGCTTGTATCGAACCGGTGACCTTCCGCATGGGAGTCGGTTGCTCTACCAAGGAGGCTAAAGACCATGGCCTCTAGCTAGAGTACCTTTAGAGGAGTGAGGTTTACCTGCACAGCTCTTCACTAGCTGGCCTCCGCTACACTCGCCCCCATAAACCTCACTCCCTTCTGGGTCACGGCACCAATGTAACCCTGCCAGTCCTACGCCACCCAACCCGCTCCGAGCTGGGATGAAACCGGCGACCTTCCGCATGGGAGTCGGTTGCTCTAAAGGCTGATTTATACTTCTGCGTCAAGCGCAAGCGTATGCTACGGTGCAGCCTACGGGTTGATGCTTGGCCTCTCGACGCACACCTCTCAAAAATTTTAACTTCACATTGCAATGACGCGTAGCGCAAGCTCTGTGATTGGTCGGCTTGGTAGCACTGACGAGTCTGGGCAGGACCGAGAGCCGCGCGAGCCCGATGGAGTGATTGTTTACAAGTGTGGAGTCACGTGAAGGAGCTCCGGATGGAAAGTTTTGTTTTGTGTTTTGTGGTTAAAGTTGATGAAGCCACTTGAGCCAAATGAGCCACTTGTACATTAAAGAAGTTTTCAGAAAAAACAAAACATCTTTAGAGGTCAGAGGAGTGAGGCTGGCCTCCGCTACACATATAAAAAGGATTATCACTAAACATTTAAAAAGGAGCATGTACACACAACAAACAAATGCATTTAATAGGTCTTCGTGCGCAGGTGCAGAATGTGGTCTTTTCACTCAGCTTTTGTCCGTTTGGTGTGTTCACAGGCAGCTTTTTGGTCCAGATGGAACCAGATGTGAGCTAACGGGAGGCAACAACTCAGTTGAATTTTGTTAGTGCTAGTTTTTTAACATCAGCTTGGTGTGTCCCGGCCTTTAATTACTGTACAAAATAAACCAGATTTAACATCTACAAACCATGGCACTTGTGTGATTGAAGCATCCTCATTTGTAGTTATTTACACTGTGCTGCTGTGCTGATTCCAGTGGTCATCTATTACATAGCTCTAAAAGTAAAGTTCAAAATGCTATAAAAACTACAAAAGTGCAGCACTTACTGCTTATTGAAGAGTTGGACCACTGTGTTGAGTGCCGATGTCCTCCTCCAAATGCTTGAACAAGTTGCTGGTCGAGTTAAAAGCAGTCGAAATTTCTTTTGAGACTGAACATGGACTGCAGACTTGTTTTTACGCTCCATGAAATCAAAGTAACGTCTTTATTTCTACTTGAAGAAGCAAGCACTCTCATCAACAGCTGTTTCACAGCAATTTCCAGCTATTTAAAAGCAAAATCGAATTTAAAAGCGCATGCTTATTAACTGATGTTGCTGCTGAAAATGTCATTTTAAAAAATGCAAATATTGTTCTCTAAAATGCAAGTAATGCAATTACATTGACTTTAGTAACTAATCAAATTACACACATATTAAAGACGCATTTATTTTCTAGGTCTTTTTGAAGCATAAATCCTTCCCTTTCAGAAGGGGGGGGGGGTGTTGGGAGTGGGGAGGGGGATCAAAATGGTCATGTTCTCTATCGTGTTTAGTGTTGGTCAACTGTGGTAGCATCTTTTAATTAGGAAAAAATATTTTATTATTATTATTACTATTTTTTATTTTTGCTTTTTTATTGATAATCTTTCTTTCCTATTATATTGCTGTTTTTACTGTTTTATGCTCATATCATATGTTTATTTTCTGTTTTTACTGTTTTATGCTCATATCATATGTTTATTTTCTCTCTGTAAAGCATTTTGTGCAGCCTTGTGGCAGTTGGAAACGTGCTATATAAATAAATAGAATTTGAACTTGAACATTTAAAATATAATTCGTTACATTACTGCGTTCGCCAAAAATGTAATTAGAATGCAGTAACAAATTACTGTGGAACGCCTTACGCCTGTTTCACATCGCAAGCGTCAGCAGCGCGTGAGCAGAGTGTGAGCAGCGCTTATGTCGAGCAGTAGCAGCACGCAGGCGTTTGCCTTTCACACCAGCTGCGTCTGCAGCGCGCAGCTCTTCGGCAGCTGCTGCAGAGATCAACCTATCTCTGTCTATTCTATCTAGTTATCCATGTCTCTCTATATACAAATACACTTTTTAAACTTTTCATCTGTACCAAGACCCCTCCTATGCTGTTTCTTTACCTGCAAATGTTTATTTTACAAATTTTATAGATCAAATAGTGCTGTATGCTTCTCAAGCTAACTTATATGAGAAGCGTCTACAGTCAGAAGACAATCGCCTGTGATATCATGTCATTTGTTTTTTGATTATCAGGTTGCTGTAGACCTAGTTATAATCATATTTATACAATATAGTTATAATGATATTTATACATGATCAAACTAGTGTTACTTTCTCCGCTTCAGTGATGTCCAGCGGCAGAATAACAGCTCCTTAATTCATGCTCGTGCAGAGGATGAGACGGACAAAAGTAACCAATGCATGCCATTCTTTTACTTATTTTCGTGTTGTCAGATTCACAGTGCAAACAGCTTCTGGTAGGAATAACTCGAGTGAATATAAAACAAAGCCGATTAAAACTTTATTCCTCTGCTCAGCTGCACAGAACACAGCGAGCTCACATAATCCAGCATGCGTGTCGAACTACACTACCCATAATGCACTTCGCTATGGACTACAAATCCCGTAAATATTCCATTTCCCCTCTCCTACAACACTAGTGTGCAAAACTGATACTAAAATTGTTTAACATTGGGTTTTGTAGTTCGGGCCTAAATAAATGTTTGTTGCCGTTTTTAATCATTTTAAGTTCATTTGAATGACTATATATAAACCATTTGACATTATTAACGCATTTATTGGGTAAAATTGCTAGTTTTTACTGTCATTCAATGTGTTTTGGTCATTATCAATGCAATGTCACTTTAATTGAGCGTGAGCAGCGCGTCAAAAATAGACCCAGCGCCGAAACTATTGCTGTATTGCTGCTTCGGCGACGCTCACGCCTCGCTCTGATGCGCTGCTGCTGCGTGCGGTATGAAAGCTCTAATCTGTTAACATGGACGCCGAAAACACACGCGCTGCTCACGCTCTGCTCACGCGCCGCTGACGCTTGCGGTGTGAAACAGGCGTTACACCCAGCTCTACACACAATTCTGTCCAAACAGCTCCTAAAAGTTGATTTTGCATGATAGGTGCCCTTTAATGCTGATTATCACTTACAATAATGGGAGAGTGTCTGCGGCACATTAAGATAATGTGATGTACTGTTGGCCATCTTTTGTCTCCAACCTGTTGCCAAACTGATTCTCACTACGCTGATTTTTTTAATACCGCTTTCCTGTGAGGCAAAAAAAGCGCAGCGTTAAGTTTATCTTCCAAGCGCGGGGAGTAAATCATGTGGACGTCTCCTCTCTGGAGGAGCAGAAAATAGATGAAGACACTACAGGGCCAATTTAACACCGCAAGCATTCTCAAATTAAATTTACATCAATTCCATCAGCACTTTTTACCCCACATGCTTCACTAGCTCCTCAATTAGCCTTTCTTATGAGATGGGATTGGAGATGTGACGTATGTGTAATGTAATGCGCTTTTAACCTTCATGGAGAATTTTTGCACAACACGCTCTGTTCATTCAGCTGGACAATTTTAGCAGTTGTTTCACGTCACAAATGAGGTTTCGATGAAATCAACACTAACCAGAGGGTTGTGGGTTCAATAGCGGAAGTCTGAAGCATGAAGGCTTGTCTAATTCTGGAAGATATTGTGGTAAAGTGACAAATAAACGTGTTCATGTTGTAATCAGATGTAAAAAAATGCATTTCGTTTAGTCAAAAGATTTTTGTTTGGTCACTCAGAGTGATAATTGGATCCTTTAGTTTTTAATATACAGCTTTACTGGAGTTCAATAGTTTGAAGTGAAGTATGTGATTAAATAAATAAATAAAAATAAATAATAAAAACAAATAGTTAAATCAACAAAATACTAATAAATAATGAATAAATAAAATATAATTAATTAAATACAAATAAATTAATAATTTTAAAAATACAGTTAAATAAAATACAACTAAATAAATAAACTAATAAATAAATACAAATAAATTAATTAATTATTAAATAAAATACAAAAAAAATTAATAGAATACAAAAAATTTATTATGAATTAAATACAATTAAATAAAATACAAATGAATACAAATAAAAAAACAAATAAATACTATACAAATAAATAAATAATAAATTAAGTACAAATAAATAAAATACAAATAAATTAATAAAATACAAATAAGTAAAATAGAATTAAATAAATAACATACAAATAAATAAATAAGTACACAACAAATAAATAAATAAATAAATAATAAACAAAATGCAAATAAATAAAATATGAATAAGTAAAATACAAATAAAACAATAATAAAATACAAAAAAATAAAATACAAATAAATAAATAAATAATAAATAATATACAAAAAATAAATAATAAATAAAATACAAATAAACAAAAAAATAATAATAAATAAAATGCAAATGAGTAAAATACAATTAAATAAATAAATAAATAAATAAATATTACATAAAATATAAATAAGTAAAATACAAATAAATAAATAAAATATAAATAAATAAATAATAAATAAAATACAAACAAATAAAATATAAATAAGTAAAATACAAACAAATAAATAAACAAATAAAATACAAATAAATAAAATATAAATAAATAAATAAATAAAATTACAAAAAATTAATTATGAATAAAATACAATTAAATAAAACACAAATGAATACAAATAAATGAACAAATAAATACTATACAAATAAATAAATAATAAATTAAATACAAATAAATAAATAATAAATAAAATACAAATAAATAAACAAATAATACATAAAATACAACCAAATAAAGTACAAATAAGTAAAATACAAACAAATAAATAAACAAATAAAATACAATTATATGAAATACAAATAAATAAAATATAAATAAATAAATAAATAAATAAATAAATAAATAAATAAATAAATAAATAAATAAATAAATAAATAAATAAATAAATAAATAAATTTAGCAAGGATCCATTACATTGACCAAAGTGACAGTAAAGATATTTATTTTACAAAATAATTTGAAAATATAAATTCCTATAATTAAATTATTTAATTAGAAGTCAACAATACTGTTTAAAGAGTTAGGGACAGTCAGTGATGTTTAGTGTGATGTTAAAAAAGGATACTTTTAGTAAACAGGAAGAAATTTAATTATTCAAAAGTGACAGTAAAGACATTTGTAATGCAATAAAAGAGGACAACTTTAAACACATATTGTTGAAATTTATATTCATCAAATTGTATTTTACTACTACTATGGCTACTACAACTGTAAAAAATAAATAAATAAATAAATAAATAAATAAATAAATAAATAAATAAATAAATAAATAAATAAATAAATTATTGCTCCTTATTTGTTTTTTGTTTGTTAAATCAAATGAACTTGTTCAGCCATCTCAACTTACATCAGTCAACTGACAAAATTATTAAGTTAAACCTAACTCTAGCTTGTTTCAGTTATTAGTTTTTGTTAAAGTAACAATAACATTTGTTGTCATAATATTTTAAATATAATTTTTACAGTGTAGTATTTTTCAAAGCAAACAGCATTTATGTTCAATTCCAAAGGAGTGTGTAAAACACTAAAGACTGGCGAAATATTGCCGCAAATTAATTTTTTAATTGCTGGAATAACTGACAGATTAAATTAAATCAGAGTACACTGAAAAAAATTATTCAAAGATGATTCCTTGGATTTACTCAATTTTTTTACGTTAGGTAGTTGTAAACAATTTATTTGGGTAGAATTTAAACAAACAAATTAAGTTGAACATTATTAAACTTAATTTGTTTGTTTAAATTCAACACAAATAAATGTATTGCAACAGTTCTGCATGCAACGCTTTTTTCAGTGTAGAAAAGTTCATTTTAAACTGTACTAATATTTTACAATATTTCAGTATTATTGTATTCTACTGTACCAAGTAAATGTGGCCTTTAGACACTTCTTTAAATAATTGAATGAATGAAGAAATAAATGAATGTTAATCATATCGACCCCAGCCTTTTAAGGCAACAGTGGTGTAAGAAGAACTTTTTTTTTTGCACATGATGATTGCTGTGCAGGATCATTAAAGGGGTCCTATTAAGCCCTTTTTTACAAGATGTAAAATAAGTCTCTGATGTCCCTAGAGTTTGTATGTGAAGTTTCTGCTCAAAATACCCTACAAATAATGTTTTATGACTCTCTGAAACTGACGCTTTTAGGCGTTGATGCTAATTGTGGCATTTTGGTGACTGTTGCTTTAAATTAAAATGAGATTGTGCTCAAGAGGGCGAAAGAGAGTTTTGAAAGAGGGCGGAGCTACAAATGCCTGTGTGTCAGCATAGTGGCAGATTCCAAAACAAGACTAACGTCTTATGCTAATGAGGGAGAGATTGTCACTAGTGGGTGGGGCTTTCCCCCTCTGATGACACGCACAAAGGGACAACTTCAATCAAAGTGTTTCTGCAGACTGTTTTTAACAAGTGTGATCATAAACAATAGAAAGAATAAGTTGTTCTCATTAGAGACTGGTTATGTTCACAGACTGTTGCCTTACAACTGTGTTTAAACCCCTTATAAAATGAGTTTTGCATAATACGTCCTCTTTAACATATCAAAGTAACTGTGTGTGCTTTTGTCTGAAGATCTGAAGAACCCCGAGATCGTGACATTGAAGAATCTGACGAGGGAAAGCGCTGGTGTCTATAAATGCACCGCCAGCAATGATGTCGGAGAGGAAAACTGCACTTTAGAGGTCAAAGTTCACTGTAAGTATTTGTGCATGGATGCATGCAGAGTGTGCCAATACCCCTGTTTTCTAAAAATAGTGCACAGTGTGCAGTGATAAATGCTTTAAGCAGTAGTAAGCTACACCGCTGACACATCACCTCATTGGGCTGTGTGTTTAATTTAGCGAGTGCCAGTCAGTTTTTCATTACCTCAGGAACAATATGCAAATTTTTTGGGCTAATTTGTCAGAAATTGTGCAGTCTGATCTGGAATGAGTCAAAACGGAGATGCTTTATCCAACTGCATTATTTCTCAAACTAAATGAAAAGTCAAATAGAGTGCATTGCATTGTGGGATACTGTAGGCAGTCTGAGTACAGTGGTCTCTCGTTAATCACGGGAGTTACTTTCTATAAATAACCCGCAATAGGCCAGATCCTCGAAGTAGACAGCTTTATTTTTTACAATTATTATAGATGTTTCAAGGCTGTAAAGCCCCTTACTACACACTTTATACATTATTTAGGCCTATTTTCATTATTCGTTTATCATTATGTACAATAATTGAGACATAAAATGAGATGGTAAAATATAATCAACAACGAAAATGTAAATAAAAATGTAAATGAAAACATAAATGAAAATTTCTTAGTCCTATCAAAATAGCAAACACTGAACATCACTCTATATTTAGGCTAAAAGACTGCTTTATTTATTTATTTATTTATTCATTATTTACTTATTTTACTTTATTTGTTTACTTATTACACTTATTTGTACTGAATGTTTGTGCTTTCATTTTATTTGTCTTTTATTTCTTCAATTCTATTTTTCAAAGCCAATCTTTGCACTTAACAAGTTTACGATTAAGTGTGTTAACAAATTTTAAATGATTAATGAAGGAATAAAAATGCTTTGACTTATTGTTTAATCTCATTTACAAGCACAGTAGCATATTTAAAGCTGCTGTATAGGCTATTTCTGTCCGTTCGCATCCCGTCCCTTTGTGCCCCCTGGCGGCTTATTCACAAACTGCGGTCATACAATTAAAACAGAGCGGCTGCAATTTCAAACGGCGGCGGTATAAGCTCCGGCGGTAATGGCCACTTTGAACTCTCACCTACTGTACACTTTTCTCACACAGGTATTAATGTTTTCACACTTTTCTCTTGTTTAAACACTCTCAAAGTTCAAACCTTCATAGTAAAATAAGTCCAGTATTATAAAATGAAACCAAAGACCAACACCTGTTGTCAGGCGCAAACATTCACCGCTGTCAGCAACAGGTTCATAAAGCTTTTTAGCTTTTGTGCCAGTAATGTTGGCATCCAGCGTCATGTTCTTTTTCCTGCAGTCACCTTCCCCTTCCCATTGGCCCTTACAACCGAGGGTTAAGGGGAAGGGCTTCAAAATTTACCCCTAAGAATTGGGACAGCACTACACCACCTGCACACGTCATCATATGTCCTCGCGATCTGATGCTTCATGTGAGATCAGACGATCGCGACTGCAGTAGTTATTCCAGTTGTGTTTTTTATTGGTATTTATCTTCAGGAGATCGCTGAAGGCATATAGTATGTTATCATAATGATCTAATGTGGCAATAAGATCGTAACTGTACTGTGTATTTACAAAGTGGCCATATTCATCAATGTAAACACACCAAAAACAACATTAACATTATAGCAGACACTGTAAAATGCCAATTGACAGCCACTAGACATTACTGAGAGGGTATTCGACTGTCAGAATGCTGTGGGACTGCTGTACAGAAGGTATTAATAGGGATTATAGATCGCGAAATTTAGCTTTTTTTTTTTTTTTTTTGTTAAGCATGACGGTAAAACACGCGGTTGTGAATATGTTAAAACGTGTTTGTCGTAAAAATTCGTAATAATAACAAAAAATACTAATTTGTGGATCTCATTACTTCTGGGTTCAGCAATACTGAAAATTTTCTTTCTCTCTGGTTTCAAGTGTGGTCCTGAAAAATCTTTGTTCGTAGGGCTATTCACCCCTTCCCCTTAGCCCTACACCTACAAACTAAAGAGAATTGGGACACCCCTACTCCTTGGCATGCACGCACAAAACAAGAGGTAGTGGGAAGGGAAAGGGTTAAGGGGTAAAATTGTGATTGGGCCTAAAAGACCACCCGAGTCACGAAATGCGAAGGTTTTTCTTTCCATTCGCCATACAGTATCAAATTCCATTAAAACAGCACTCTTCCAGCAGTCTTTGCTTCATATTTTCATTCAATATTTGTGACGGGGCATGAACAATATGTTGCTAAACAAAAGTGAACTGCAGTTAAAGTCTAAAGATTGAAAATGAAACAGCCGAAAATGCATGAAACTCTGGAGGACAGGCTGGATAGCCAGGTAATGCAACATTAATTGTTTTTATACTGAAACTTTCCTTATAAATGCACTTCCTTGGTCTTATCCATATTTCTTTGCACGCTATACACACAACGGCCACAACAGGAAATGAAAGAACTGCAATCTTTTTTCTTTTAATTGCCTTAATTTTTTTAACGCGTTAAATATTTAAAACTAATCGCATGCGTTAACACTAGGGGTGTCAAAATGAATTGTTTCTGACGATTCGGTATCGATTCAGTAATAATCATTACCGGGTATTATGTACTGACATCATTTATCTCCTATGCGCTCTGTCGCAAGGGAGGTGAGCGTGAGTATTTACAACACTCAAGAGCCAACTCAGGGCCGGCGCGTGGCATACAGTAGGCAAATGCTAAGGGCGCTGTATATTCAGGGAGACGCCAGAAATGAGCGCGGGTCAGTTGGTTTTGTTTTCGATATTCCTGACACACATTCAGTTAACATTATAGACGGCAATAACTCAAAAACCTCTTACCCTAAAAAGATCTAAAGTGTGTTTCCTACAAAAAAGACAAAGCTGGTTATGTTTCACAGCTGTCTTTCTTTTTTTTCACTCGACATTATGAGCACTGTTCCGTTTAAGCCCTCGCAATATATATTATAATATATAATATGTGTTTAGCCGGGAGAGGTCGCGCTGAGAGGAGCTCTCAGTAAGGAACCGTCGGAAAAGTGCTTCTTTCCGCTCAGCTTGAGCCCTGTTGCGAGGGCTTAAGTGTGTGTGTGTGTGTGTGTGTGTGTGTGTGTGTGTGTGTGTGTGTGTGTGTGTGTGTGTGTGTGTGTGTGTGTGTGTGTGTTAGGTGCTAGGTGCTGTCTATGGCCCCGTTTACACTAATGCGTTTTAGTTTGAAAACGCATAAGTTTTGCTACGGTTACGCCAACCGTCCACACTACGCCGGAGTTCTCGAGCGCCGAAAACGGAGCGTTTCGAAAAAGCTGGAGAGGCCGTTTTCATTCTGAAACGCTGCTGCTCCGTCTCAGTGTGGATGATGGAAAACGAAGACATCTGAAAACGGAGGCGGGGCTGCTGACATTCGCCTCTCTGATTGGGGCTTTTCCTGAATATTAAGTAGCCTAACACACACAGTTCAGTCCTGCATTTTCTCCGTGTAAGTTCAGACTTCGCATGTTTGATCAAGGCTGCAGTCTCTTCTTCTCAGTTTGATATGGACAACAGACCTATACCGAGGACACGCGTCAATCTTCAAAGGGAACAGTGTACTTTATAACTTCATTCACATCACCCTGGCTACGTTGTTTCACTTTCTCAACAATAAATTGTATACATGATTTAAGGAACTGCCTATTTTTATTTTAATATTAACAACTTAACAGACAGCAGAAATGTTGAGGCACCGTGCTGCATGAGCGTCATCTTCACTGTGTGGATATTTATAACAAAACGGAGCCGATAACAACTGCCTCCTTTCAATTTCAGTGAAAATACGAAACACAGCCTCTCTTTTGCTGAATATCAGTTTTAATAATCGATAATGGCCATTATAAAAGTATAACATACAATAAGTTTTTACATTATAGGAAATAAAGGCAAGCGATCAGTCAATATACAGAATAGGCTACGTGGTTTCATCAATCATTATCTTATCTTTGCGCTCAGCCAAAACACGTTACCTGAGAAAAAGTAAGATTCTAATGACCAAAGTCAGGGAATATGTCGTTAGATAAAGACAACAAGATGAATGAAATATCCCGTTTAATAAATATAGTGAGATTAGATCCAGCGGTAGATGCTTGATGAGAAGTCCGACTAGCAGAGCTCTCATCTGGGTAGATGAGCTGCAGCGCTTGCCCGAGAGCGTCTGTGTGGTCACGTGATGTGCGTTTTCAGCGTTTTGGTGTGGACGGAGAGCAGTTCAGAAACGCTGGGTAAAACGCGAGTGTGGACGCGGATCGTTTTCATTCTAAAACGCCGTTTTAAAACTAAAACGCACTAGTGTAAACGGGGCCTATGTTTGTGTATGTGTTTGAATAAGAGACAGTGTGGTGCTGTGTGTCTGTGTGTTTAATTGAACCGAATCGAAGGTATGATAATCGTAACCGAACCGTGAGACCAGTATAGGTTCACACCTCTACCCTAGTAGCAAAGAATTCTGGCCCAGATTTGGCAAAAGGCTGGCACAGCAGGCATTTATCCGGCACTGGCATACAGCATGTGGGCCAAACATGGCCCGGGTTTGGCAGAGGTGGCACCGTTTTTAAGGCGGCGCACAAGATTTGGGCCAGATGTAAAAATTTGATTAGTGGGCCATGTGAGTTTGGCCAGTCTTGACCCACATTTAAAATACACTAAAATCATTTTTGAGTTAAGAACAAATATTCTACCAATCAGATCACTTTGAGAAAAAGCGTGCCCATAGTGTGCCTAAAGCGCATCAATCCATGGGTTTATCAATTTCATTGCAATCGTGACACACCAACCTATCTGGCCCAGTTCAGACCCAGTTATGAGTTATTAACTTGGCTGAGACTTGGCTGAGACTTGGCCCAGATATGGTCTGTGTTGGCCCTTGTCTGGAAGCCAGATTTGGTCCAGTCATGTACCGTAATTCACTGCGGCATGTGGGCCAAGCAAAACCTGAGTGTGTTTGCCAGAGCTGGGCCAGAGAAATTTTGCTGTGTGGGTAGTTAACACGCTAATTTTGACAGCACTAAAAAATACATATAAAAACATTTAGATCATTTACTTTAATCATGACTATTGGACAATCGCCTACTGCACCTTTAAAAATGAGCAATAACACAGACTAACGGAAACCCAGCTTGTAAGACACAATGCAGTATAAGTATTTTGTAGATCTTCAGAACTTTTCCACAGTTTTTTTTGTCCATTTGTCAGACACTGTGATACAGATGAAAAGCTTTATGCAAATCACAATGCTCATTTTTTGTTTTGTTTGCTTGCTTTGTTGTTTTCCTCTCTCTTCCGACACTTAATTGAATTACTGTCAACACGAGTCATCGCAGTATCGCCAGCCCACAGTGTTCCTGCGAACTTTCAGCCCCATTTAACATCCAAATAAAGAATTCATCCTTATCTTTATCACAGTGTTCATTGATTTAATTCCTCCCTCCAAACCTTTCTCAAACAAGCTCTGCTGCATAATTAAATATCAGATGATGGAATTAGAAGAAATAATTAATTACGTGGCGGAAAGAGAAATTTATTCATGCAAAAAATGGCATATTATTAAAGGAAGGAGCTCAGCGAGTGCGGCGGGTTGATTAATGCTGTGCTGTTTTCACTCCTTCAGGTACAGTATCTGCAATGCAGAGGGGCTGCTGCTCACCGGCTGCTTTTGATTATGCTACTATTTTCTGTCTTTCAAAACAACGTGGAGTGTTTTTTTTTCACATTACAGTAGTCTGTAGCGAGTGTTTGAGTGTATTTTCAGCTCTGTAAAAATAGATTCAAATAAAACAAATCTACGAGAAATGTGCAAACAATGTTAATGTGTGGTGGGTGGTTACTAAGGTCTTGCTATGTAGTTTCTAAATTGTATGTTGTGTAGTCAAAGACCAAAAAGGGCTTCAGGTAGGGCTGCACAATACATCACAAAAGTATAGTAATTGTTATAATGGAATATGCAATATATGTTATGCACTCACCGGCCACTTTATTAGGTACACCTTACTAGTACCGGTTTGGACCTTCAGTTCAACTGAGTTGCCTTCAGAACTGCCTTAATCCTTTATGGCACAGATTCAACAAGGTACTGGAAATATTCCTCAGAGATTTTGCTTCATATTGACATGGTAGCATCACAGTTGCAGATTTGTTTCTTTTGTTTCACCACATCCCAAATGAGTTTATATATGATTTTTTTAATGCGAGATTGTTTTTTTTTTTTTTTTTTTTTTGGGGGGGGGGGTATTATTATTTTTTAGGGTTTTTCACCTTTATTGACAGGACAGTAGAGATTTACAGACAGGAAAGTATGGGGAGCAGAGAGAGGGGAAGGATCAGCAAAGGACCTCGTGCCGGGAATCGAACTCGGGTCTCCTGGGTGCTATATGTCAACGCACTAACCACTAGGCTATTGGCGCCGACATGCGACCTCGTTTTTGACTTTGTTTTAGTAATTTGGGATCAAGTTATTCTTTTTGTAATAGTTTTTTCTCCTGTTTGAAAAGTTCACATTTAGCTGATTATTGATTATAAAGCGTATTTGGCATGCTGTCCCGGGAGAGAGCCCTGAGCTCAGAAGATCCTTGAGCCCGATCTCGAGATCTCCCCTGCTGTTTGAAGCTAGTGAGCAATTAGGGGTTATTATGAAGATATAACTACTTAATAGGTGCATGTCTATAGTGCTGATTTGGATTAGTCAATTAACATAAGTTGCATGTTTTTGGATGGTGGGAGGAAACCGGGGGACCCAGGGGAAACCCATTTGAGCACAGGGAGAACATGTGAACTCCGCACAGAAACGTCGACTTGCTTAGTAAGGACTAGAACCAGTGACGTTCTTGTTGTGAGGCAACACTGCTAACTACTGGGATGCCATGCAGCTCATTAAGAAAAGGAGGAGGAGTAGGATGGAGACTTAGGAATTGTCTGATTGGTGAATCTTAAGTTTGCTAATGCAGAACCAGCCATGATCAATCATAAGCACGTGATTCTCTTGATATTATTTTATAAGTAAACTTCACTAATGTTAGTAAGGGAGTGAGGGTAATTTTATGTATTTTTCTTTTCTTTGATGGGTTTTTTAGTTCTTTCCTTTCTATTAGTTATATACATTTTTTGTAAGTAGTTTTGGCTAAATCTTGAAGCTGTCTTGAAACCCCCACTTAATCATTGAATGCATTTTTTGTTATCCTTTATTCAGGTCGCATTGTGAGTTTTCCTCTTTGGTAAATTTCTTTTGTTTAGTCTTTTGAGAGGATGCTCATGGGACCTCATTACTGACACACAAACACAAACTCCACTAATATTCTGTTGCGTACATGTGTTCCCTTAGACAGAATTAAGGGAATGTGACATGCTTTATTGGATTGAGTTCTGGGGACTGTGGAGGCCATTTGAGTACATTGAACTCATTGTCATGTTCAAGAAACCAGTCTGAGATGATTCACGCTTTATGACATGGTGCATTATCCTGCTGGAAGTAGCCATCAGAAGATGGAGACACTGTGGTCATAAAGGGATGGACATGGTCTGCAACAATACTCGGGTATAATACAATGTTCAATTGGTACTAATGAGAACATAGTGTGCCTAGAAAATCTCCCCCACACCATTACACCACCACCACCAGCCTGAACTCTTGATACGAGGCAGGATGTATCCATGTTTTCATGTTGTTGACGCCAAATTCTAATATCTGAATGTCGCAGCAGAAATTGAGACTCACCAGATCAGGCAACATTTCTCCAATCTTCTACTGTCCAGTTTTGGTGAGTCTTTGTGAATTGTAGCCTCAGTTTCCTGTTCTTAGATGACAGGAGTGGCAACTGGTGTGGTCTTCTGTTGCTGTAGCCCATCCACCTCAAAGTTGAACCTGTTGTGTGTTCAAAGATGCTTTTCTGCTTACCTCGGTTGTAACGAGTGCTTATTTGACTTACTGTTGCCTTTCTATTAGCTGGAACCAGTCTGGCCATTCTCCTCTGACCTCTGGCATCAACAAAGCATTTGCGCCCACAGAACTGCCGCTCACTGGATATTTTCACTTTTTCAGACCATTCTCTGTAAACCCTAGAGATGGTTGTGCGTGAAAATAACAGTAGATCAGCAGTTTCTGAAATACTCACACCATGCCAAATTTAAAGTTACTTAAATCACCTTGCTTCCCCATTCTGGAACTCGGTTTAAACTGCAGCAGATCGTCTTGACCATGTCTACATGCCTAAATGCATTTAGTTGCTGCTGCCATGTGATTGGCTGATTAGAAATTAGTTTTAACTAGCAGTTGCACAGGTGTACCTAATAAAGTGGCCGTTGAGTGTATATTTCCTCATTGGTTTTAGTCTTAGAGGGTGCTTTATTCATATATAGATCTTAATCCAAAAGTCAACAAATATAAAATAACAACGGAGGAATTTGTCTTAGAAAAGCTCATAATTCATTTTAAACGATGTGTTTGTTGTTCTGCAGATGTACGAGGGATGGGCGTGGTCGCCGGTGCAGTGGTGGGCGTATCCTTCGGCGTTCTCCTCATTATCCTTATCGTCTGGCTTGTTTTCCGCAAGAAAGAGAAGAAGAAATATGAGGAAGAGGAAGCACCCAATGAAATAAGGTAAACAAATGTGTGTGTGTGTGTTTGTGTGTGTGTGTGTGTGTGTGTGTGTGTGTGTGTGTGTGTGTGTGTGTGTGTGTGTGTGTGTGTGTGTGTGTGTGTGTGTGTGTGTGTATGTGTGTGTGTGTGTGTGTGTGTGTGTTTGTGTTTGTGTGTATGTATATATATATATATATATATATGTGTGTGTGTTATATACAGTTAAAGTCTACGATTCATTCTGCCATGGCGACCTCAGATTAATAAAGGGACTAAGCCGAAAAGAAAATAAATGAAGGAATGAATGAACAGTTAAAGTCAGAATTATTAGCCCCCCTGTTTATTTTTTTCCCAATTTCTGTTTAATGGAGAGAAGATTTTTTTTCAACACATTTCTAATTGATAATAGTTTTAATAACTCATTTCTAATAACTGATTTTTTTTATCTTTGTCATGATGACAGTAAATAATATTTGACTAGACATTTTTCAAGACACTTCTATACAGCTTTAAGTGACATTTAAAGGCTTAACTAGGTTAATTAGGTTAACTAGGTAGGTTAGAGTAATCAGGTAGTTATTGTATAATGATGGTTTGTTCTGGAGACTATCAGAAAAATATATAGCTTAAAGGGGCTAATAATTTTGACCTTAAAATGTTTTTTTTAGTTAAAAACTGCTTTTATTCTAGCTGAAATAAAACAAATTAGACTTTCTCCAGAAGAAAAAATATTATCACATACTATGAAACCTTCCTTGCTCTGTTAAACATCGTTTGGGAAATAATTAAAATAAAATAAAAATTTAAATGGGGGGGGCTAATAATTCTGACTATATATTATAGCTATCGAAAATAGAACATGATTGCACATTACAGCTTGACACCATTTATAATGCCTGTTAAAGTGGCGACTCTGTTACTCATTGTTGACTTGCATTCATGTCTAGGCTAATTTGCGGGTGTCAGGATGAATTATGCAGGTTTGGAGGATGAGTGAGCATTAACAATGCAAACGACAGCGAGATACAAACATTCACACTGAGGTTAAAGAGATACACAAGTCACTTTCCCTCCCCTTGTTAGTCTGTAGCCTGAGGGTTTGAGTGTTTGAGTGGATTCATCACAACATTTTACATTATGCAAAGTGCATGTAGGCCAAAAATAGACTCTCTTTTTCTTTAGGGAGTGACATGTTGCTATTTTAGAAAGTGCATTTTAGAAAGACTTCTGAAATGTTATCCATTCATTCTGTTGAGAAGAGACAGTTACAGCTAGTGAATTTACATTTCAATTTTAGATTTTTAATATAAAGTTGAAATCTGAATTATTAGCCCTCCTAAATTATTCTCCCAATTTCTGTTTAACAGAAAGATTTTTTCAACACATTTCTAAACATAATAGTTTTAATTACTCATTTCTAATAACTGATTTGTTTTATCTTTGTCATGACGACAGCACATAATATTTTACAAGATATTTTTCAAGACACTTCTATACAGCTTAAGGTGACATTTAAAGGCCTTACGGAGTTAATTAGGCAAGTTAGGGTAATTAGGCAAGTCATTGGGCCCTATCATACACCCGGCAACATGTTTGGCGTGATTTGTTGCTATTTTCAGACAAGTGCAACTGTAATTTTCACATTTTACACCACATTGTTTAAATAGAAAATCCATTAGCACTACTTTGTGGACTCATGGGTGTGCTGGTCTGTAAAGGTGGTGTGTTAAGTGCATTGTTGTCGTGTTGCTATTTTGAGAAACTGAAATAGACTGCACCATCGACCAACTAAAAGCTGATCTAAAGTCCAACGCAGAGCGCATTAGTTATGCACCTATGCAGATTCAAAGGATTACACATAGCTTAATACACACAGGATGTGCTGCAATACACACATATCTTTACATATGAAAACAATTAAAGGATGAATACAAAAATTATTACTTTCCACATAAATATAAAAGCGACTGCCTCCATGTCTCATCTGGAGGGCTTATATTAGTTTATGATCATTTGCATTTGTAGAATGTTGTCATTATTATTAGCAGTATTATTTTTTTAGATGCATATTTACATTTGTTTAAAAAAAAAAAAAAACAAGTTTTCATTTGTCCACCTGTTGGGTTTTGGAGACGTCTGCATCACCATATTGCGAACAAGAATAGGACATGTGTTTGGATATAACTCTGGAATGCTGAACTTTAAAACTGAATTTAGAAATAATTTTTAAACAAAACTTAGCGTTTAACAAACTAAATTAAATATGTGGGCAAATGGATGTCTTCAGTGAAGTGAGTTTCCACCATTTCCTTACTCAAAAAAGTAAAGGAGTAAAGAGTAAAAGTAAAGTAAAGAGAAAGCAAAGAGGCCAAATGGAGGAGGCTTGTTCTTTATCCTCACGCTGCAGATGGTCTTTAACTGTTTTTTCGCTAGTAAAGTGTTTCCACCAATAAAGTCCGCCATGTAAATAACACATGCGCCATGGCACGATGCAACTGACTCTTAAAGGGAATGGGGGATGAACCTCTGATTGGTTTAATGAAGGTTATGCTCAAAACACACCCATACCTCATTAAGAGAATGAGCACAACCCTGTTAGACCATGCACCGGGGCACTGAGCGTATTTTTCCATCTTTCAAATAGCAAAAGTGGATTAAGAATTGCCCTTAATGCTTTTCCACCATGCGCTTTAGACTTTGTGCTTAGATCATTAAAATAGAGCCGATTGTCATCAACGATGGTTTGTTCTGTAGTCAATTGGGAAAAAAATATTGCTTAAGGGGGCTTATAATATTGACCTTAAAATGCTTTTTTAAAAAATAAAAGCTACTTCTATTATAGCTGAAATAAAATAAATAAGACTTTCTCTAGAAGAAAAAATATTATAGAAAATGCTGTTTACATTTTTTTGCTGTTAAACATAATTTGGGAAATTTTTTAAAAAGAACTAAAATTTCACAGGCGGGCAAATAATTTTGATTTTAACTGTACATATAATTAAGTTAAATGTTTATATTATATTATTAATATATCTATGGTCAAACTGCACTTTTAGCCCCATTGACTTCCATTCATACACATGTGAACGCAGCAGACTGGAAACACAAGCTGTATGCAACAAGACTGCATGTGTGTAATGCACTGGCCAAACTGGATGAAGAATGTCACATTCTCTCTCTATGTATGCTTTAGGGAAGATGCAGAGGCTCCCAAAGCCAAACTGGTGAAGCCGAACTCTCTGTCGTCGTCCCGCTCTGGCAGCTCTCGCTCCGGGGCATCCTCCACTCAATCAATGGTGCACAACAGCGCCACCCGTGGGCCCAGGCCTCGACTGCCCGTGGTGGCTGCGCTTAAAGAAAGCGGACAGCCTGAAAAGTTCCCTCCGGTGCCACCGCCGTACAACCACGTGGTGCCCAAACCCCCCGAGCCCAGCAGTAGCCCCAAATCCAGCCCGGCCAAACTCAGCCCAGGGAACCTGGCGAGGATGGGAGCCACACCGGTGATGATTCCTGCCCAAACCAAGGCTTTCCAGACTGTTTAGGCATACACAAACAGATAAAACACACACACACACACACACATCAACTCCCGCATCTGCTATCAGGAACATTCCCAAAGGATTTCCCATTCCCTGAGGAAAATCCAGACGGTCAGGTCTTTGATTCAACATTCACATCAGAAAAATATGCTTTTGTTGATTTTACGCACGCACTGAAGTGGAAAGAGACCCCTTGTGGAGTGTATTCATTCTTAAAGGGTAAGGACAGGAGAAAAAAGGAGATTTTGATGTGGAGGGCTGTGCCTTGTGTTGTTATGATGGTTTGAGCGAACAAAAGAGGCAGATCTGAACAGAGACAAAGCTCTGGCTTTACCCAGACAGACAGGCTGTCTACCTGACCACACACTTCCCGCTCTCGCCGGCTTTGAGCTGACAGCTACAGAACTGCAGGAGAAACTCACATAAGCGGACTCTTTCTGCCACCTGCTACGAGGAGTCACATCTGCCACTCATTTTCTCAGCCAATCAGCATTCGCCAGGCGGCCCAGCACGCATCACACCCCAACAGCCAATGGCAGGGCACCTGCTGGGTGCTGACACGCTGCGATTGGCTCAGAATGAGGAGAAATCAACACACAGCCGCATAAACAATGACACAACAACAGTACATTAGTTTGTTCCTCATTCCAGCTATAAATATGCCATAAGATACTCCATATTTAATAGGTATTTATAGGATTATATTTGAGTTGAAGTATCTAACAGCATTGGTAACGTGTGCACACACCCTTTAAATCATTCATTGGCATTCTTGAGGATAATGCACACGGTGTCTTCAGTAACGAGGTTGATGCTCTCTGTGGGGAAATGGTTTGGCTCCGCTTTTGGTTTCTGGTATTTTGCAATTGAAATCAGATGTCTGCTTGGCGCATCCCATTGAATGCAAGTATGATGAGGTTGGGTTCTGTGCTGGTTTCTTTCAATATGCAGTGTCGAAGTGATTACAGAGCAGGCCCACACACAGTCGGCATTCATGAAATGCTCTGAATGGTTGTTGTTTTTGCTAAGCTTTGCATTATTGGTTCTCATTTTGACTGAGCTGTTAGCCCCTTTCACATATACAGACCGACAGAAAATTACCGGTAATTTTCCAGAAAGGGATCATGTGTGAACAGACCCTTTTTAAAAAATACCAGTAAATTATTTCCTGGATTTCTCCAGAAAGAGAAATTTGCCGGAATGCAGCTCTGTGTTAACGCAGAAGGAAACTTGCTGGAAAGAGTGCGTTCACATTTTGAGCACTCTGACATAAGACGTCTACTCCAGCCAATCAGAACACCCAAACGCATTCGCATCCGCGCTGTTTATGTATGATTTTTGGACTTTCGAATTTGGAATTGTTGGAATATCAAGCCAATTCCATGCGTGTTCAATGAGAAAAGGTCTGGAAAGTGTTTTCTTTAATGCCAAAAATATTAGTAATTTATTAGATACAAATGAATAATTCGATGACAGAGCTCTGGGTTACATTACCCCAATGCAATACAAGAATTACATTCAGAAGGTTCGCAACTAACATACATTTCCTGACTCCAGCAGATATACACAACTGATATTAACAGGTGGAGTTTTGGTTTAACGTCACTTATCAGTCATTCTGCAGTCACTTGGCTCTTTATAACCCCTAGACATACTTCCTCTTTCTGCAACCCTTCTCTGCATACCCGAACTGAACAATTACGTGCATCTTTAATATGTTTCACAACTTCAACAAAGATCATGACAACTTGTGACATGTCTAGACTATAGTTCTGGAACAAACCTAAATTTATTCTTATTCTGCTTTTTCCACTAGTCAGCAGATCTTCTAAAAAGTATGCAGCACAGTAAAAAAGAGGAAATGTGTCTGGTCAAATGTGCTATTATACAACAGAAAAAGATTGATTAATATGTTGTTAGTCTAACCATTTTTCTAATAATATAATAAAGACACAAAAGTAATAAAAATAAATTCCTTTGTTCCTACAGTATCCTACCGCACAACACAACATGTTTGCTAATGCAACCGGTCTCTTTTTGCAACCGGGAACCTGTGTGACGTAGGTTGGTAATTCCTTTATTAGTGTAAACGGGGACTAAGTGTGTATTTTTTCGCGAGCGTGTCCTCTGTTGCTGACACAGAGGATCACAATGTCGGCTCAGCATTGTGATGTCTATCGGCCATCAGCCATGGATAGTGGCATCATCTATCGACCCAACTCTAGTTTCTATGTTCCTTTCTAATGCCAAATTTGCTGCAAAATGCTTATGGTAAGCCGCTGTTTGTTTACCTTCAAGCTCTGCTTCAGTTGCTTGACGCGTGTGCACATGAAGGAGTGCTCCGGTGAGCGCCAGCACACATGTATATCATGTACGTCTCTCGAAAGTGTTCTTTCATGTTTTCATTGAAGTAGTTACAATACTTATACATCCACTTATACAAAACTTATCCATCCACAGAATTTGTCATGTCGTCTGCGGTTTGTGCTTCTGTCTTTGGATGTCTCAGGGACAAAAGCTGCTGCATGAATGCTAAAGCTTTAAGTAAAAGTGACACCATCAACAAAAGCCCGACCCCTTCTGTGTTTGCAAATACAAGCGCAGCCATTTAGAGCTCATTTCTGATGAATGATGTCAGAATATACCGGTATTTTGGAATGGATGTGTGAACGGACTTTTCAGTTAAAATCCAGAATCTCCGTGCCTGTGTGAACAGCGCTTTTTTGAATTCACCAGTCATTCTGGAAAAGTTCCGGATATTTACCAGTATTACTGTGTGAAAGGGGCTACTGATTCTCATGCTGAAATTTTGGCTGAAAATATGACAACATTGGTCATTTTTAAACATTTATAGTAACCCTCCTGCTGACTTAGGGGTCTGAAATGACAGCATTTTAACAGCAGAAAAAACTAAACCACAGTTTTTTCTTAAAGTTAGGTTTATTTTTTTTTAAACTGCCCCCAACATTAGAAAAAAAATTCATAATTTTCTATTTTGATACTTTTCTAAAGGCTGCAAACATTTAGGTTGGAAAAAATATTAGTGGGGTCAATTTTGACTTGCCAACTATAAAACCATTTGACACCACAAAAACTTCTGGAACATTCTGGCACACTTTAAAGTCCCCATGAAATCAAAACCAAGCATATTAAATATTGTTAGCTCATATTGCTTGCTTTGTGGTGAACAATTCATCTGTGCATGTCGTTAAGAAAAAATAAAAAGTTTGCCCTTGTAATCTTTAATAAAATCTAAAAATGCCCTGAAAAATTTTTGTTTTCAGTTAAATTCTCAGGTTGCATCATCCTGAGGTATTGGGCGTGGCTAACATACTTAGCCACACCCCTCCAGCTGTCAGTTTTGTCAACAACCAGAAATGTTGTTAGGGAGTCTGTTAGGGTGCATTAACTCTCCACAAACCCTTTTCCGATCTTTCTGTATGGAGTGCATACTTTACGACATCCAATCATTTAAAACAAGTAAAAATACAGTAGAAAAACAAGCCACGCCCACTGTTTTTTCATTTAATATTACTTTTTTTTTTTAGAATCTGCGTCACAATACAGAAAAAAAAAAAACAGTCGTATCTTCCGGTTCATGCGGACATTAATGCAGCCACCTTTAGCATTAGAAAGTATAGCCTTTAGTCAAAAACGAGTGTTGCCCAGCTCTGATTTAAACACTGATGGAGAACTCCACGCTAATGAGGGAAAACCTAAACATCCACAGAGTCTGTGATGAAGATGAGGTTGTTTCTTAATGCAGAATAGATTTGAGGATGAGGGCAGCTCATTCTTGACTTGATGTGCAAACCGAATTCTAAGACAAGAGGAGGGTTAAACCTGGCAACTTGAGGCTCAATAAAACACGCAGGTGAAACGAAATGAATACCCGTTGCAAATACAACTCAATGTGTGTTTCATATTTACAACATATTGCGTTCGCTTTTAAGTACATTTTCTTTTCCTGCTCTAAAAAAATCTTCAAGTAACTGTACGTCGATCCCTCCCAAGATCAATCTATGGGTGTTAACATTAAATTAGTTATATGATTTTTTTTATGATGCTTCAATAAAAACAAGTTATTTTGCAGGGGAGAAGATTTATTGTTGTTATGTATTTTAACATTTTAATTAAAGTATGTTTGTTTTTGTTAATTATATGGAGGTTTGAGGCCACCGCTCCTTATAATGCTTAATATTTGTATGTTTATTAAATATTATGGCTAATTTTCTTTCAGCTGTGAGAAGAATGTAGTGCTTTCTGCTCTGTTTCAGGCATTTTATCACGTTTAAATCATGTTCTTTAAAACCTCAGAAAATGTGAAAAACGTCTGAAGGAAAGGGCTTTGAATGTTTTGTATGGCTGATTGTTTTTATTTTTTCCTGTCTTTTTAACTTACAGTAGTTCTAAGTTTCATTTTATTAGAGTTATTTTAGCCAAATACACTTCACTTTATTGTAACTGCAGTAGGTTAGAAGCTTTACATTTTATAGTGCA